TTTTTAGTCTCTTTGGGGTAGTTGTGTCTCTATGTGGTCACTTGTGTCTCTTTCTTTCGTGTCTTTGTCGCCTGTAGATTCTGCTGCATGCTGGTTGTTGCGTGAGGACACGCTGAGTCAGCTCACCTTGGCATCTTTGGCGTAGTAAAGAGTTCGGCCTCTGAGTTTGAAGTAGCGCTTTTTCCACCTCTGGAAGGAGCTGGTTTGTTTCAGCAGCAGACCCTCCTTTATACTCGTCTGCAGGAAGAAAACACAACACAAAAAATAAATGACACGTTTTATATCAGAAGGCAACATAAAGCCTCACTCTCACATGCACAACTCCCTCCCGTATTTGTCTACAGGAAACTGTGGAGATAAAAACTGTTTATATGCGCAAGCGGCAATTTTCTGCACGAGAGACGAGGAATCGTCCGAAACCGTGGAGAAGAAAGGAAACGCATTAAACCCAGCAGCCTCATTGCTCTAAAGAGCCATAAACACACATCAGTCACTCAGCCGCGGAGCAAAAAGAACGACGCATGGAGGAGAGAAAAAAGAGAAAAACGCAAAACCAGCGCTGCATTGACAGCTTCTGCATCTGGTGAACTCAAACAGTGTGACCCCCAAATATAAATCCTCTGTTCCAGCATGACTGGCTGAAATCTGAAGAGATATGCATCATAATATTCCCATTTAAAGCTGAACGTTCCACAAATCAGGAATATTTTATGGTGATTTTTAAAGTCAGGCTTGTTTTTTTAGGCTTAAGGAAGAATGTAGCATATTTTTTCAGCCCCACTCAGCAAAAATCAGTGCCATAATGAGGTTTATAGAATCTTTAACTTGATTTTTTTTTAACACTTCATATCTAAATAATAAACATAAACTTAAATCTTTACTATTTTTATGGTTTTAGGTGTTTTGGCGTGGGAAGGATTTAATGCCAGGTAGAGTTTTTTCACTTAATGTTGCAGCAACATCAATATCATTAAGGAACAAAACACAAGTGCAAACAAAAAACAAACAAACAAAAAAAAAACAGTCCTGACTTTACATGATAATTCACATATTTTAAATTCTAGGCCTCATTTTACTATATTTCTGGGTGTAAATGATTTATTCTGATAATAATAAGTAAACAATTATTGTTTGTTGTTGTTGCTTTTCTCACTGTTTGCTCATTTTTTTTACTGTAATATAAAGTCCTGCACCTCTATGGAAACAGAACAACCACGACTAGAAGGAGAGGGAACTCAGAATTTACTTTATGCAGTGTGACACAGTTATCATGTCATAAATCATTTTTAAAAAAACGAAAGCTGAATTTCTTTGGTTTTCTAGTTTACAAAATTAAAGCAAAAAAAAAAAAAAAGTTGTCGTGTACAACTCTACATGTCTCTCTACTCTGCACATCAGCTCTACAAAAATGTTTCCCCATGCTGAATGTATCTTCCAACAACTTGCTCTCTCTACACTATTTTTTTTTTTGCTATACTACATTAATTTTTTTGATCCACTTTATTTTATTTTGAAGTCATTCTCTCTTGTCGTTTCCTTTTTAATCTCTTTCCATGTCTCCTCTCTCTTGCTCTGATAAATTGTACATTAGAGACCTGAATTAGCGATGTTTAGATAATTAACAGACAGTTTTCTTTGTTTCAAGGAGGGGTGACAATCTTAAAAGAGACCCTTAAACCTAACATTCTCACACCCCAGTCACAGATCATGGTGTAAAAAGTGGAGGGAAAAGGAAACATGCAGATAAACCACTGGATGATAAAACAAAGGTGGAACAGATCACACAGTGAAAATGATTGGATTTTTTTTGTCTTGTTGTAAATAAAAAGCTTATTGTTTCGCCGCCTCCTACGGAGCCAACGTGTGTGTTTGTGTGTCGCATTAGACGAGTCTCCAACAGCTCACAGACACACACACACTCATCATCATTACCACCACTATCGGGTAAAAAACACACACACTGGACGTACAGAGCAAATACAGCGTGACACGGAGCGGTGGACTTGGAAAAGATAAAACACACAAAAACGCACACAAATGGAAATGCTGCTGCGTGGAGGAACATCACTCACACTCTCACACACACACACACACTCACACACAGACATAGACACAGACACACACACGCAGAGTCTATTTATAGCGAAGGAAGGCTGCTCTCTTTGGGAAGAATTACAAACAGAGAGAGGCCTGAAACTGACATCCTGCCCACCAGCTGTGTCAACTTAAACACAGAAAACACTGCTGCAGAATCCAGACTCACACACCATATACACACCATATACACACACTATATACACACCATATACACACCATATAGACACCATATACACACGCTGTGGTATGTCACATTGGGTAAAGTTGCAAACATGACAGTAGATCACACAGATTATTAGAAGTGATCCGTTGGTTGCAGCTGAAACTCTATAAAATTCGAGTTTTGAAGGATTGGTTCAGCCAAACTACGAAAAAACTATGAAAATATTTGGCTTTGAGGTCCCTTTCTCTATGATTTCTGCCTACATTCCTGCACAGTTGAAGTTATTTGATGGGTAAAAATGTCAACAATAACATACAGCACTTGTTGACTCAGATGAACCTTTTTTAATCTATTCTGTTGGGCTGGGATGATATAATAATGTAGCATCAACAGAACATTGTGCATAATTTCAGCTCAAATTTTAGCCAAATCAAAGCTAAATTCAAGCTGTTGCAACTTGAAATGAGTTTGATTTTCTTCACTTTAAGTTCAGGACTTTGATACCTTTAGTCATACAGGAAATAGTTATTTCCTCAAACTTAATGTAGTTTGTTGGTTTAACATAGTTTTAACAGAATTTTTGGGCTTCTTATTATTTTTTAGTTTTGCTTTGTTTTTTAGAGTGCATACTGTCTGGTTTGTCACATTGGGTGAAGCTGCCAACATGACGGGAGATCACATAGATTATTTGAATAAACATTTTGCTCAAACCAGATTCTAATAAAAAATGAAAAGTCCTGTGCTCCTGGCCACGACTAAGAAACCACGACTGATTCCACTTAGACCAACAGCCTTCGAACAAAAATTCAGACTTCTTGGTTGAACTTCAGGCTGTGTTTAAACAGAGACAAGTATGAAAGCAAATGAGAAGTTCAAATAGTTCAATATCTGTGTCATGTAGAGTCGCCATGGATTTTTTCAGTCTTGGTAGAACCTGTGGGCGATTGGAAAAATGTTGTACATGTTTCTAGTTTTTTCAGTTGTTGTAAAAGAATCAATAAGACAAATTCAACTTTAATTGTTTTGTCATCTTTATAATTAATGTCATTGTAACCGTGTCATACGGCACATACCACATTTCACTTCTCTCTCCTTCTAGTCAGGGCTGTTGTGTTTCCACAGAGGTGCAGGACTTTATGTTGCAGTGAAAAATGAGCCCACAGTGGGTAGAAATGTGACGGAAGCAAAAAACACCAACGAACTGCTTAGAGGGTTAAAAAGTGACAACCCTTACAGAGATAGAAGCCAAGGAGGTCTATCAAGAAGTGTGGGGTTCTATTTTGACAGAAATGGTGACTGAGGGGGAAAAAACAAAAAAAAACACAACAGGAAGTGGAGTCACTGTGAATTCTCTGAAGCGGCCGTCTACCTACGTTAATTCCACCGCTTCCCTTTGCGTAGGTTACGGCCTGAAGACTGAATTCCTGCAGTGGATTAAGGTGAAATACCTCAAAGCTGACTGCCGTATAAGGCCTGAGCAGCTCGCCTGCGACTACAATCAAAGTGGGACTGTAACTCAGGCACAGCGGATGAAGTCATCTCCTCATTTAGAGCTGTCGGGCTACCGGCGAACACTGGAGCTTTACCGAGGGCGTTCAGGGATCTCCCTTCGCTCATTTAAATAGAACAGGTTGTTTTTTATAACATTTAAATGCAAAATAATTAAAAATTGTATCACCTTACAGTAACTGCATCACTTCTGAGGTGCACAGCTGGATAAATGACTCCTATGTAAAATTAAAAGCTAACAATTTAGACTCACTATATTCAGAATACAGGCCCCAAAGTAGGACCTCAATGCAACAGGATGTTGGAGGACACCAATCTGGAAAGATGTTCTACTGCTCTTCTTGCTGGAAGGTTCGTGTTGCTCTGCCTCTCTCTTTAAAACACACTAAAGGTGTTTGATTGGATTAAAATAGGCAACAGAATTTCCCACGTGTAGATTTGACTTTTTCCTTCTTTTTGTGTGCTTTGGATGGTTCTCATGCAGGAATATTCTTCTTCTGCCATACTTTAGCACACTGGGCGTCATCTTGTCAGCCAGTATTTTGGTAGATCTAAACCTCTTGAACTCCTGCAGCCCCATACCATCACACTCCCACCTTCACTGTCAGGACCATGCATTCACTGTGGTAACCCTCACATTGTTCACACCAAACATGCTGGACTCCATCGGAGCCCAACATATTAATCCTGATGTCACCTGACCGAAGAATGAGCTCCAAATAGCTGTCAGGCTTCTTTCCAAGTTCTTTTGTACCAAACCGCAAGAAGATATTTTATTTTTGCTTGAATGCTGTCCACAGAGGTAGATGTTATGAACTGTCCCTCATGTTGTCTAGACTCTCACAGAATCTCTGATTTTCATAACCCTGGTGCCAAGTCTGAAACAGCTGCACATGTGTTTTCTCACGGCTGGATTGTGAACCTGATGTCATTTTAGGACAGCCACTGGAGCCCTGACTAGTGGTGCTATGGTTCCTCCTATACCTCCTGCTTACTGCTACAACTGTGTTTTCATTGATATGTGGTTCCTTACTGATCTTTTTCCATTCAGTCTGATTTTTTAGCTCCTTGAAATAGTAGTTATTTAGCAGTGATGTACTTTTGGTTGAATAGTTTCACCCGTTTGATGTAAAGTGTCCTATAAGGAGAACTTTCAGAGTGAAACTTTAATTTTCTGTGCCGTGCCAGAGCACTAGAAGTGACTTTGCTCCAGTTGGACGTTCTATTTTCTATTTTGTTCCTCCTTGGCCTCCATAGTTCCTTTCCTTGTCTTCATCTCCTTCCTGTTGCCAAGTAGGCCAGAAGTGATCTATAAATAGTCGGCGTGCTCGCCTCGGTGCACAGCTCTTCTCTGCTGCTAAACAGTGAGACCGAGCGGCTGCCAGAGAGAAATGAGTAACCTGAGCATCATGTACCTTCTACACCCACACTGCCTGGCCACCGACAGGGCGACACACACTCCAAACAC